TCTTAGGGTGGCCAAGGTGTAATATGTGCGGTACCTACTTAATTTTAATTTAATTTAAAATGTTATATTCAAATAACAATCAATATTTTGCAATTCAGTCCGGAATTCACAGCACACGCAAATAAGCCGCTAGGGGCGATATAGGCTAGTTGGCGCTGCAAGCCAAGTGGCGCTATAGAAGAAGAAGATAGGTGGCGCTATTCACTAGGTGTGTTAGTGTAAAAAAAAGAGCTTCCTTATATATACATATCTCCATCGCTCTCGCACTTCCTTAAGCTGATAAACGGGTATCTAATAGTCGAGGCCATCGACTATAGCGTATTCTCTTGTTTGGTTTTCCTAATATTTAAGATTAGTTAATACTGAACTAAATTCACATTTTTGTTCGTTTCGTGAACCAATTTTTCTTTTGCTTAGGTTATTAAATTCATATAAATGTATTTTCTTATCTTTGTTCCCTAACATGTAAGATTAATATAAAACTGAAATGTAATTTTTTGCAAGTTTGAACAAATTTTTCTTTTAATTATGTTATTTAATTATATAAATGTATTATTATATTATTGTTCTCCTAATATGAACGATTAATTTATAAAATATCGTTCTTCATAAGTAAAAGAAAAGTATGTAATTTTATTACATCCCAGTCGGACCGTCAGGCATGTGGTGCTTGATTCCACAATAATTTCCATAGGAAAAATTCAGGGGTTGGCACCGCGTGAACTTTTTCAGGGCGTTTCGGGCCTTTTTCTATAGGAATTTCCTATGTAAAGCGGTCGCGAACGTTTCAGTACTGAAAATTTTGGACAACCATTATAAAAGCTAATGGACTTTGTCCATAATGGGCATGTGAACCTGCAGCCCTTTTCCATAGGAAAAATGTACAAATGTTCCATCGGAAAAATGTATGGACAGGTCCGACTGGGATTTAATCGAGTTAATCGATGTTTTTTTTTTTCAAAAGATCGAAATGAATCGATGCACTAATTTTTTTTTCCAAACTCTTCTAGTATACCCTTTTACTCTACGAGTAACGGGTTTATTGATGTTACCGGAGGTATTGATGTTAAACAGATGATGATATGATATTAGCTCTAACAAATTTTAACAAAATAGTACATATAAGAACATAATTGGTAAACAAAAAATGTGACCAACAAACGGTGTATTACATACTAAACATCAAAAATACCAAATAATGGAAGTCGGGCTTACTTGTTTCCATATACCAAAAATAGCGAACAATGGAAATCTGACTTGCTGAATACTGATACTTACTTATCGGTAGGTAACGCGAAGGTGTTTTTATTGATAAATGACCACTCTATTCGACCCTCTTTCATTTGCGCAGTCGGAATCGGATCCCTGCCGTGGCATGTTCTTCATTGAGATACTACAACCACGGCACTCTAATAGGCCCAATGCTTACATGTCGGAGAAGCACTCTCCTTGCTGAGGGGCGAGATGTACATATATAGAATCTCTAATAATCATGGGTTTACCCGCGACATGGGTATCAACCACAGCCACTACGCATAGTTCTCCGCATCAGGGAAAAATTCTAAAGGAGTACGTTGACGCTGTCGGTAAATATTAACCAATCTTATCTTCTTGGTGTCGTCCCAAGAAGTCCCACCAAATGTGCTTTTTTGGCGTAAGGATAAGCTTCTTGTACTGGGTTGTAACCTTTGGCGTGCTGAATTCTGGGATGTCAAGTCTGCATTCGAATGTAGCCCATGATCGCGCTGCTTCGTTGGCTAAGGCCACGTCAATATCCCTACTAGAACTGTGATTATCGAACGTGAACACATGTCTGGCTAAGTTAAGCACATCTTGAAAAATGAGATGCTGCTGGGTCTCCTTCTCATACCTTCATCATTCTTCAGAACACGAAAAACGTTTTATTGTCTGCTCCGAAGTTAAAGTCTTTTTAAGCAAAATAATTTTTGAATAACAAGGATCTTTATAATTTTTATTTTTAATTTAAACTGTAAATGCAAGAGCACGAATGTTTTCATTACAAATATTAAAAGTCAATGAACTAAGTATCTTAAGCATTTTGTGACCGTTAATTTATTTATTTATATAAGGCTGACTTAAAGTTTAAAAGTATAAGTTAACTGGTGACAAAGATGTTTAATTTTACTAATGAGATTTGAGAATGTTTCTGTTCTTTGTTGGGAAAATGAAGGGCAGCTGATAGTATCGAGTTTCATGTCTATATGCGAGTTGTTTCACAATATTAATATTATCTTTGGGTGTGAACACAAGAAATTGCTTGGGTTTCTGGCACTTGGACAAGTAGTCGTTAATGTTGTGGTGAAGCTTGGCTATGTTATTTTCCCAGAGAGCGTTAGGTGGCATTGAAAGGTTGGCGAGATCAATACATTTCAGTTAACATTTTTTATCTGGCATGAAATTTGTGGGCGCCACAGGTATGGGCGTTAGAGTGGGCGTGGCATTTTCGCGTAAGAAACTTGCGCTGCGTATAAGGCTACGGAATCTAAATAAAATAAAATTTGATAGTATCCGCGTTCATACTTACGATTTTTTTATGTTTTTGGGCGCTAAAGTGGGCGTGGCAAACTTTTTTTTTGGGTCAATTGATAGGTTTTGACAAGACAAATACATTTCAGTTAAAAAACTTTTCCTAGCATAAAAACTGTCCAGTCCCAAGAGCCTAGCTCTTATAGTTTCCGAGATCTCTGCGTTCATACGGACAGACGGACATGGCTAGATCGACTCGGCTAGTGATCCTGATCAAGAATATATATATACTTTATGAAGTCGGAAAAGCTTTCTTCTACCTGTTACATACTTCCCGACAAATCTAGTACACCCTTTTACTCTACGAGTAAGGGGTATACAAATTGAAAACAGACGTTATGTATACAGATTTTAGTAAGATCTTTGACTCTGTAAACCACTCGCTCCCTTTATTAAAATTATATCAGATCGGGCTTCCGAATAATCTGTTAACTTGAATTTGAATTTATTTTAATGGTAGATCTCAAAAGGTTATATTCAAAAACGCTGTTTCCAAGTTGATCTACGTGACATCTGGAGTGCCTCAGGGTAGTCATTTAGGCCCTTTGTTGTTTACTCTGTTTATAAATGATCTTCCCTCTATCTTAGCTTACTCTCGTGTACTGATGTATGATGATGACCTTAAGCTTTGAGTTTGCGGCCAGATATTAATAGATTCCAGGAATGGTGTCAGTACACCCTTTTAAATTAAAACTATCTGAAATGCAAAGTTATGACTTCCTATAGGGGTACCCCAATTTCATGAGTTATTCTCTTCAGAGCATTTTTTTTTTTTTTTTTTTTTTTTAGTTTGAATACAGTTTTATTTACATTTGCCCAGGGGGCAACCAATTAAATGTTGTGATACTTTGAGTGTGAAATTACAAATTAAGTTTCTTGGTAATTAGTATTTGGTGTGTACAAATGGGTGGGGTTGGTTAATGTGTGACAGTGTGGTTTGTGAGAGTTCCGTCAATTATGATTGTTCTGCCTGGAAAGCATTGTCATCATTAGGTTTTTGAGATGGTCGAACATGGTGTTCATCATGTCTTCCATACGTCGGATCATCCTCTGCTCCAAATCTTCAAGAGGTGACTGGCCATTGAGTGGACTGTTATCGGAGTTTCTATGTAGATTCTGCATCCCCGAAAGGAGGCGGTGTGTTCCTCTCCGCAGTTACCGCACATGGGTGGGATTTCCGTTGTCTTTTGGCAAACAAGAGAGTCGTGTAGTAGGCCACATTTAACACAAACATGTTGGAGCTTGCAGAATCTTTTCGTGTGCCCGAAAGCTTGGCAGCGGAAACATTGTACCACTCCATCGAATTTTTTTGGCTCCTCAATGGTGACAGCGGCGTGACACAGTCTGTTAATCGCGAAGACTTGCTTGTCGGTGGGAGCTGGTGCAAGGTTAATAAAAAACATTGACAATGGCATTTTGGTTGCCCTTGATATTGCATTTTTAGCGTCTCGCATCTTATGGCCGAGTTTCTCTTAGGCCTCCTTAACCTCCTCTAGAGGTGTTGTGTGATGTAGACCTTTAACCACGATGCGAAATGCTCTCTCTTCCTTAAGTTGGAAGGTTTGGAAAGGTTTTTATTTATAAAAATACAATCCTTCAAGGTTTAAAAGGTTTATCTTTCCTATCTACGCTTAAACAGGATCCAAAACTATTTGAAATATCAGATAATGCTACAATTTTGGAATTGACCAGATAAAAATACATGTCTGACAGGAAAATGTTTCCAACGTTTTCGTAACACGGGAGTACCAACCGTTACTGAGATGATAGCACAATCCTCGAATCGCTACAGGGGACCGCTTACTGGTGCATTCTAACCGCCTGGCAAGACGCCTTGTCACACCACTGGGTCGACATCGTCTCCGCAGAAGACACCCCGCGAATTATGGACCTCGGGCGTGAAAACAAGAACAATTCTTGTGAGGCGTGTTAAAAAACGACGTTTTGAGTGTACAAAATCTGGAAGATTCGAGAATTGGTGCGGCGCTCTCCGTATTCCTCGGCAATTCTTTCGTGGCTAACCTGCGGTCTCACAGCCAAGTGCAAAGAAATGGGCAACCGGTCGGGGATCCTGGCAGCTGCAGATGGCTTCAAGTGGAGCTTCGAGGAGGAGGAGCAGCCCCAAGTGCAATCTACAAATTAACGATTTTAGCCATCATATTTATCGGCTATTGTCATATATAACTTCAATCAAAGCTTAAAAACCATTCAAACAAGACAATTTGAAGCCAAAGGATAGTATAATGAATTATTTATTATTGAATGCTATATTTTGTATGCTGTTTAAGCTTTTTCATCAAATATCCCCGCTTGTCGGAGCATCCAGACATCTTAAAGGGAGACTGCTAGACTGCACCCAAAAACTAACTTTATTGTTATCGATTCTTTTGGTTTCGGGAGAATCTCGATTTCTTTGTGGATCAATCGAAGTATCGTCACCGTTCTCTATAGCATATCCGACTATTCTACGGCATTGTTCGGCTCATTCATCAGAGGCTTAGAAAGAGACAGGTATGTATGACAATTACTGGGATTAGTTTGGATAAGAAGGCATGGTCACTTAAGCATTTGAACGTTAGCTTTAAACTTTATAACTCAAATAACTTTAACCTTCTGATTGTACTGCTTGAAGCTTTTAAAACTGACTTAGGTAGGTATAAAACTGCCAGCAATTAATAATGTATGCTTGCCGTGAAATCACACACTCTTAAAACGACTTGAAAATATTTTTTGGTGCTAAAGAAAGCTTGTAAATGTTTTTATTTTATCATCTCCGGCAAGAATTTTTTCAAATAGCCTTTGAGCTTTTTTTCTGAATGCTATTATATGGTTTTGGGTTTACCTCTAAGAAGCAGCGTCATTTTTGGCTCGCAACGGACTTAATAAGACGATAACATATTACTTTTGTTGATTTTGCAAGGAGCTAAAACAAATAAGGAAAAAGCATAAAATTAGTTTTTATACTCGTTAGTTAGTTAGTTAGTTAGCTAGTTCATATAACACGAAGCGTTTGTCGCGCTCTTCCCGGCTAATTGTGGACTTGTGCGGGTCGTTTCATTGATTTATGGCTGTTAATTTTAACGCATGGCTTTCAAGGTATTAAATAATAAACTCTATCCCGCCAAGAGCCTCTCGATCCCGCTGTTTTCCCAGTGCCCCGCCATAACTCCGCCACCAAAATCATCCTCATCAGGACACCCTGCTGAGCTGCAATGTCGGACGAGTTGAGGCGCCATGGAATACGAGACTGTATGGTAAAAGAGGGAGGGGGTTTCCCTTTTGGCCGCCTGGCAGACTTTACAAGTGTTTCGCTCGATTTTATGGGCCAGCTCAGAACGGGGCGGGACTTCCCCTTTCCCACGGGTTGTGTAATGAAATTAAAGGCGTAATGCAATACAGCTGGCAAAGATTTTGCAGCGGTTATTTCCATGAGGCTCTCGTTACTCTTCGCTCTTTTGCCCGCCAGTAGCCGTCGTCGCTTCTCTAGACGGGCATTAAATTTAATTAATATCTTCCGTTTTTTAACAGACTGCAGTCTTCAAAAATATGATACCATTTTTTTTTTATTCTTTTGGTCTTCAATGCTTAAAGATATTCTTATAAGCTCTCAACAATTATAAGATAATTGTTAAGTATCAAAATATATAAAAATATTATATATTATATTGATTTTGGTATTTTTGGTATTTTAGATTAAAAAAAGTACTTCCGATATTTTCCCATAAAATAGTTTTCTAGTTGACCATGCTTTTAAAATTTAAATTCATAATCACTTTTGACGTGGCAATCAAAAAAGAAAAAGGCGAAGCTCGAACTAGTAAATTTATTAATTTATTGAAAACGACTCACAATGAATTCAAAAGATATATATTTTCTTGGTAAGCCAGCCGAAATGGAAAAAACTCGCAGGTATTCATCAAACCCCGAGGATGCCTCCTCCATATCGACTGCCCAACCGGCGGCTACATCAACGCCTACTACTTTAATCCGCAAGAGCCCAAGAGTCGCGACCCTTCGTCGGGTATCCGTAGAGTCAGATTTACGCAATTCTTCGTTAGTAGGTCGAATACCCGAGACTTGGGGACATATTAAGGGCCGTAAAACAATTCGTGCTCCCGATACCCCTGAGAGGGCTCCTCGAATCCGGAATATATCAAGCAGTCCAAAAACCCCACGCACTTCCAAGCAACCGAAGACACCGCGGAGCGCAAAAAGGGTGGCAGGTTTGGTCAAACAAAAATATGCGCATATCAAGGGCCGTAAGCAGATTCAAGCTCCTAGTTCCCCAACAACGGAGCCTCAGTCTTCATTAAAGACACCGACAACACCGAAGGGTTCCCCAAAAACTACTACCCCTAAAAAACATCCTGAGTCTTCACCAAAGACACCGAAGATGTCGCCTCATACATACATAGAGATTAACTGCTGGGTTCCGAGTCGTTGGAAGACTCCTTGGTCCTGCACCAACAACAATTTTCTCATACGGCGCCAAAGCAAAAAAATTCCGAAACGCCAAGTACAAAAATCACCTAAGCTCGTAAAAAATACTGAATAAAAACTAACTATTGAATCGTTTTGCGTATGCGGTCCAATTTTCCGTTGATGCGAGTTGTAGCGTGCACGTGGAATGGATGAAGCGGATTTTGGTCGCTGTAGCGTGAACTCCTCTGTGTAAATAGTTAGAGCCTATTTTGTTGACAATTCACGAACGCTTGTTCATAAAATGTACCCGAAATTTTGGCAGAGGCGGACGGAACTTTTCGAGTATCGACAACCTGTTTGTTTTCATGAATGGTGTTCATAATCTTAGAACGGTGTTATAATATGACCCCATACCGTTCAAAGCTAAGCATTTTTCCGTGACTCGTTTATAATTTTACATAAATGTTCTTTATTTGACACCGCAGTGTTCTCTTTTATGAACACAAAATAGCGAACGGATCGTTCTCAAATCGTGAAAAATGTTCTTGATTTTTTTCGTTCTTTTTTTTTTTGTTTGTTCCTTTTTGGTCTCTTCTCGGCCTTCCTTTTCGGAAGGAACTTCTGTGTCTTCCTTTTGAGCTACCACTTCCATGCTTTTAGCTACCATTTTATTCTTCTGATCGGCTACCTCCTGGCCTTTCTTTTCAGGAGCTATCGTTTTGAGACTTTTCCTTGCCATTGGAGGACTTGCTGACACCATTCTGGGTAGATTCGCTTGACTAGGAAGAGTTGGTGGACGAGGTAAGCAGTTGGGTGGTCTTCTTCACAGGCGCAAAGGCCTCTACGATCTTTTCATTGCTACCCAGTCGTAAGTTGCGGAACGTGTTTTAAAAAAACATAGTTCTGGGTCGTACCTTTTTTACGCAAAACAGCACGCATGCAAATTTTCCAAGGCAAATGTGCGTGCTGGGTGCATTCTATTGCGGTGCCTTCTAGAAGTGTTTCAGAATAATGCATCCAGAAGCATGCCCAAACACCCGTTTCGGGAACGTATTCCGAAAGAAATAGTTCTGGGTAGTATCTTTTTTACGCAAAGAAACCCGCATGCAAATTTAACTAGCAACTGTGCGTGCTGGGGGCAGTCTTTTGGGTGCCATCTGGGTGTATTTCAATATAGTGCATCCAGGTGCATTTTAGTGGGAATGTAAAAAAACCAAACTCAAACCCGAAGGTTGCCGATGCGCATTTTTTTTACAATCGTCTTTTTTCGGAACTGTTCTCTTGACAAACAAATAATAAAGACAAAAGGGAACATGCAAGGAAGCGAGCGGTTTTTCTTGTCTCTTGCATTTCTCGTCAGTTGCATTTTTAGTTCTGAAAAGTGAAGTTCGTGCCACGTGTTTTGAAAAAGTTTGTTGCTTTCTGCCACCAATTTTACATCAATATTTTCACAGGTAAGTAAAGTGTAGATAATTTAGTTCAATATGAACACAATAAAATAACACAGTACATGTACACTGAACATTCAAACTAAAAACATATTAAACAAATAAAATAATAACTATTTGTATGTAAATTGTACATACAATATAAACATATTGTATATTTGTAATGTATATACACATATTTCATATTCAATTTGCTTTATATTTTTCAGAATCGCAAAAAATGAATGGACACACTAAGGACTGAACTGCGTAAATGACAAAAGTACATAAACAAGAAGGAAGCACCAAAGCACCGTACAGAAGGGGAGTTACTCCGATTAAAAATTAGTTGCGTTTTTGAATATTGAATGAAAATAAATATGAAATTGAAATCCAGTTTTATGTATTCCTGGGGAAAACTTCTAGATATTTCGTTTTTGAATGCTTCTAGGTGCATTCCTGGGTACATGTTACAGGTGCATTAAAAAAGAGTACACCCAGAAGGAGTTTAGTATGTTGCTTCCAGGTGCATTAAAAAATAATACACCCAGAATGTGTTTAGTATGTTGCTTCCAGGTGCATTAAAAAAGAGTACACCCAGAATGTGTTTAGTTTGTTACTTCCAGGTGCATTCCAGATATATGCTTCCAGAAGCATGCAACGGGTGCATTCTTTTTGTTCCCGCACCCGTGTAAAAAGAATGGACAGACTCATCACTTCCGGAACACTTTTTTGATGCCATTTCATAATGAAAGAACGCATGCTGGAATGCTGTCATTTACGACTGGGTAATGCCGCCGCTCATCTAGTGCCTCTACAACTCAGCACCTCAATTACGGATGGAAAATCTCTTCGCATGTCGTGCACTCCATTAAAGTTACCAATGAACATCTTACATCAATCAAATCAATTTGGTGTTGATTGCGGAATTTCCATTTTTTATTCCGAAGACTATTTAAATAAATACAAATTTATTAATGTATAAAAACATACATGTTTACTCACACTCAATATGTTGTCATGTCTTATCTTAAATTTGACAATATATAGGAGTGGATAATAAAATGATAAAAACGGGTGTATTGGTATAAAAAATTCAACATAATGTCCTCATGTAATCGATTTAAACCGAAATTAAAGCATACAGTGGCCAATAGATTCCAAGAAAAATAAAAATTACTTCCATTGAGAATTTATTTTTTAAGAAGAAATTGTGAATATTTTGGGAGTTTTAGTTTTGGCGTCAAGTTCCAAAGACTTGGACAATGCACTACAGGCTGGCTGACCACATTTTTGGGCCACAAATCCATTTTTCGAAAGTCGTTGTCGGGAAAACATCAAACTTCAATGTTACGTAACAAAAACGGCACCAAACTAAGTTTTTATCAAACAAGTTGTAATGGCATCGAAAGAGAGCGTTTTGTACTATATGTTTGAGTTTCACCTTAATATTTACACTGTGTTGTCGGTAGTTTATTTCTTGTTCATAAGAATGCTAAAGTGTGCAAACACTTTCGTCGCAATTTACCCTTTTAGGTCACAACCTCAGGTTTGAAAATACATAATTGTTTGCGATTTGGAGTTCTGGAGAGAAAAAGTATGACAAAGATCTGCCAATACTTGGCACATTAAGAGCTGCGATAGCTGGTTCAGATGCTTATGAGGATGTTTTGAAAAAACAAAGCGAAGCTTTTTGTTATAGATTGTCCCGCAAAGGACATCTTGCAAAATAAATTTTAATCATTTTAAAAGAAAGTACTCAACTAGGTTTACATCCCACACTGAGGTTTGCATAAACAGGCGGAGATCGACAGGCAGGCCAAAATTGCCTTATTTGTTATTGGGAGCAAGGGCTTAGAGAAGAGTAGTTTCAAATTTAATCAAATCCACGGCTGGAAATATTAAATTATTAATAAATTTAGCAAGTGCGGCTGCACGTAAGGGCGGTAAATCAGATCTAGCATATATTTTAAAATTGTTGGCTATCTGCCCTGAAAAAGCAAAGAGCATGCGCACCTTAATAAGTCAGCCCGTCTCGAAATTGGAGAAAATACTAGTTAACGACGCACTAGCTGTTCTCTTAGATCAAAATTTAACCAAGCAACAATATATCTCAATTAGAGATCAAACAAAAAACAACCTTGTTTCGAAAATAATGAAAGATCAAGGGTCAAACTTTTTAATAGCCGAACTTCAATGTAGTTATGGGTTCGATGGAAGCTGAGGTCACTCGAACTACAAACAGGGACTTGCAGGTCCACAGAAGTGTGATGTCGATGGCAGTATATTCGCCACAACAGTAACACCTTTATTAATGATTGATTCTAGCGGAAATATAAAACGCTATTTTACTGTCATAAAATCATTTAAGTTGTTATAAACAGTTCCATATAGGAAACTAGAATTCTACGGCTTTTAGGAAATTAGATAAATTGTGTTTTCCCACTGGTGCTAGTTAATAACAATATTAATTTTATTAATAATAATGTAGAATGTGTGACGGTAAGCCGTGAATCTATTCGTTTAAGCTTTTATATTTATTTTTTTGAACAGAGGAATGCAGTCATTATGTGAGAGTAACAAAATTAGTTTGTAATGTGAAATTAATTTTGTCCTTTGAAGGAAATATGTTAATGCTGTTTAAGATTTGCAAATTACATATTTTTTCAAAAGAATATCAGTGAGTATTATATAGAATTTGTATTTAAACGAATCTCATTCCCCCGTCAGGTGCAAAAGTATTATGTATATAACAAACGGAGGCATTTTTAGTTTTCAGTATTCCTGTTTTCATTAGTTTTCCAACTGGATTAGATTTACTCTCACATTTTCTTTGATCAATTAAACGCCTTTTAAACAGTTAATGTATTATTTTGTAAATATGCGATCACACTTATAGGTTTGGCTATTTCCATATGCCAGTGAGCAAGACGCGTATGTCATAAAATTATGAACAGCACATTTTACAAACCACAGTTTAAAAGTAAAGTGAAAGTGAAGGCTAAGGACTATTTTCATTTTGTGGGTTATATAAAATTTTTTTTGTAATATTTTGTAGTTAGTATAATTACTAAATTTTTCTATCGATAGTGATAATGGCATTCGAACTGCTCCCCTGATATGCAGTCGCTAAAGCGCAGGGAACCCACTTCTTCTCCAACCATATGGAATCTTTAAGCAGGAATTGCAGGACGCAAGTGTAGTCGCCGCAATTGGTGTCTTCCTCATTGGTGATGGCGACTGCGTATTGGCGATCCTTCGGCATCACTTTCGTGTATGGAGGACGGCTGTCCTCTTCCTAGTAAAAAAAGTAAAAAATTATTTTCTTCATATATTTATCAAGTAATATTATATGCCTGGGAGAAATTTAAACACAAATTTAGTTTAGTTTTGAAACTAAAGCCGTTTTCCAGGAGTGGTGTCCACGGCAAGCCACTTGAAATCGATAGAAAGATAAAATTGGGACGTTTATGTTTTTTGGCAATTTTAAAAAATTGTAACAGAATAAATATTTTTTTTGCATAGTCCTGATACACGGTTTTCTTCTTTACCGACTAGTAAATTTAGCCAAAAACGAAGTTCGACTTGTAAAAGAACCGTCCTCATAGGTATTGATGGTTACGTCTTAGTAGAGCGCTGCTACTTGGCTTAATTTTGCTGTTTTGCGATTTGATTTAACAAAGAAAGATATCGAGTTAACTTTTTAAGAATACTAAAAATACCGAATACTAGAAATATGACTTACTAAATACTAAGTACCAAATATACTGAATAATGGAAATTGGGTATTTTTTGAGCTCTTTTATAGGTAACGCGTAAGTGTTTTTATGGGTGAATGGCCACTCTATTCGACCTGCTGCCATCTGTGCAGTCGGATTCGGACCATTGCAGGGGCATGATCTACAATGACAGCGTTAAAATCACAACTGCGGTGGAACTGATATGGAATCCTATTGTTGTTTATTGTTCTTAAAACGCCGATTTATATTTGCCTTGATATGCCTTAGGGAATATCCAAAAGATCTATTTAAACTTTTTTTTTTTTGAAAAAGCATTATTAATGTCTAGGATTCAAGCACTGCTGCATGTCTGTTTAGATTCCGAATAGTTCATATTTTCATGTTCTAGCTGTGTAAAAACATAAAATGTTCTAGTTCTTTTACACCAAAATAAAATTACATTTTCCGTGTCCTACAGGATCCTCCTGGCTCTGCGGGTCTATCGATGCATTGATGCGCAGGTCCTGCCAGAAAATCTGCCAAGCCTGCGGACTGGCCTCCAAGTCCGTGAGCCGATTGTGGTGGATCGTCTGGTTCTGCGAGTTGGATCTGTCGATGGATTCCTTGGGCGATTGAGATGGCTGTTGGTGTTCCCGTTGCTGCAGAGGGACTCCTGTCCGTTGATCCTCGAGTGGTGCTTTGGGCGAGTGACCACTTGCGCCGTTACAAATTTCTTGCGTTGAGACCTCCAAGGGCATGCGTTTACGGTCACTATGTTCTGCATACCTGGACCCGAAATCAGATTCATTACGAGATTCTCTGGTGTATCCGACCTTCAGATGCCAGCAGAAGTACACAATCTTTGAGCACCGCTAAGATATTGGATTCTTGCTTTCCTCGTCGATATACAGCTCGATCATTTCGTTCGGTCAGAGGTCCGTCACGAGATCGGGATCGCAAGGATCCACAGGATTGCGATTGACGATAGAGTGTCGTTTATCGCAACCCTGTGGATAATGATAAGGCATTATTAATGTCTAGGATTCAAGCACTGCTGCCTGTCTCGATGTGTAGTACACTCGCCTCAGACAGTCTCATGAACCGTGGCTGGTCTGTCCGCACTGTTGGCAGTACCTGTACTGCTTCCGATATTTTCCCATAAAATAGTTTTCTAGTTGACCATGCTTTTAAATTCATAATCACTTTTGACGTGAAAATCAAAAAAGAAAAAGGCGAAGCTCGAACTAGTAAATTTATTAATTTATTGAAAACGACTCACAATGAATTCAAAAGATATATATTCTCTTGGTAAGCCAGCCGAAATGGAAAAAACTCGCAGGTATTCATCAAACCCCGAGGATGCCTCCTCCATATCGACTGAACAACCGGCGACCCTTCGTCGGGTATCCGTAGAGTCAGATTTACGCAATTCTTCGTTAGTAGGTCGAATACCCGAGACTTGGGGACATATTAAGGGCCGTAAAACAATTCGTGCTCCCGATACCCCTGAGAGGGCTCCTCGAACCCGGAATATATCAAGCAGTCCAAAAACCCCACGCACTTCCAAGCAACCGAAGACACCGCGGAGCGCAAAAAGGGTGGCAGGTTTGGTCAAACAAAAATATGCGCATATCAAGGGCCGTAAGCAGATTCAAGCTCCTAGTTCCCCAACAACGGAGCCTCAGTCTTCATTAAAGACACCGACAACACCGAAGGGTTCCCCAAAAACTACTACCCCTAAAAAACATCCTGAGTCTTCACCAAAGACACCGAAGATGTCGCCTCATACATACATAGAGATTAACTGCTGGGTTCCGAGTCGTTGGAAGACTCCTTGGTCCTGCACCAACAACAATTTTCTCATACGGCGCCAAAAATCACCTAAGCTCGTAAAAAATACTGAATAAAAACTAACTATTGAATCGTTTTGCGTATGCGGTCCTATTTTCCGTTGATGCGAGTTGTAGCGTGCACGTGGAATGGATGAAGCGGATTTTGGTCGCTGTAGCGTGAACTCCTCTGTGTAAATAGTTAGAGCCTATTTTGTTGACAATTCACGAACGCTTGTTCATAAAATGTACCCGAAATTTTGGCAGAGGCGGACGGAACTTTTCGAGTATCGACAACCTGTTTG